TTAAGTTCTGAACATCTTTGAAATTCCTCCATAATGTGAAATTTGCTTTTTACATTACATATCAATATGACTTAATTTTTAATTTATCAGAACCATCATAAAATGAAGAAATAAAGCTTACCTTTATTTTGTGAAGAGAGCAATATTTTATAAATGGCCTTTTCTGACTTGATTATTAAAAACTCTTTGGAAATGGTCAGAATAATGTTTTCCAAATAGGAGGTGTTTTCTTTTTTTAAAAAAATTAGGTTGCCTTTATGAAGGTTTCTTTAAGAAACTTAAAGTAGGTTTTGTTTAATAACTTCATTTAGACTGTTTATTACAAAACTGTTATGGAATTTCACACATCTGTTTTGGAACGCAGGTCCTCATAGACTACTGCACTGTTTCTCAATTTTAATAGGCCTCATTATCCTATAAATAAACCTACATTTTCTTACCTGATCAAGTGAGCAAACAATAGGGGTTAGATGTGGCAAACGCTTTAACAAAAAGCACATGTCTAGCCGTCAGGGTGAGGTAGAGTCATATCAAGATTGCTTGAAGTTATTAATGGCAGTAAAATTTATGCTTCCTCCTGTTTTCCCAATTAAATCAAGAAGCCTTTTTTCTTAAGATTCTTCTATCACCAGCTGGTTCCAATACTCAGTGTGTGAATATTGCCTGGGGTGTCTCCATTTCTAGATGGTAAAGGCTGACCAAAGCACATTAAGTCAATGATGGGGACCTGTAAAGTAGAAAGCAGGCATTGTTAAGGGCTTTATTTCGGTCCTTATCATTTGTACCACAAGCATGCATATTTTGTAGGATGTATTATAAAGAAGTTGTTGTGGTATGCTCTGGGTGTAATTAAAGAATATTACAGACAAGGTAATAAAATAACTGAAAATATTTTAAAAATAAGCTACATGGCAAAATGTACAGTTTTACATACTAAACAGGAATGAAAATGCATCAAAAGTGTTGGATTTTAGAGCACTTATTAAGTGAATGCCTATTAATGTAATAGCTATTGAGCTTAATGGTAGATTTACAATTTCAGTTTCTTAATGCTTTTTAAATTAAATAATTGGACACAAAATCATTTATCCATGAATCATTGTATCACAAAACTATTGTTACACTTGTTTTCATACTGGTCATTGTAACCTATAAATTGTCACTCCCCACACCACCTCAAGTCATGGTTAAAAACACTTGGTTTTTATCTATTTACCTCAAATATTTACTAGATTTGATTGTGAACAAGTATATTATAAAATAGGAGACTATCTAGTATAGTTGCATTCTTAAAAATTGGTCTCTCCAATTTCAAGTTTTAATAGGTTAAACATAAAATTATGTGGAAACATGTACCAAAGTTGTTCTAATGTACCTTCAGTATATTTTTAAGTATATTTCACTGTATTCAATATATATGTTCAATAATTGTTGCAATTATCTTTTAAGTGGTGTTTTTGCCTGTGGCATTTTCACTATATTGATAAAGCTTTAAGGGCTCTGACTCTATAGGAAACTTAAAGACACATGTGATTTTTGAACTATGTTGTATTCACATAGACTTTCTAGGGGTAAAATATGGCCTTGATGCTACTCTATTCTAATAGAAGGGTGCTTATAGTCCCACTTCTTTTGCCTTTTCATGGAGCTTTGTGACTTCAAAGGGAGTTTTCTACTTTGAATGAAGACATGGAGTATAGAAGGGAATAAGAATCTGGCTAATGATGTTGCCCATAACTTGTGTTCTCACTCTGTTTTTACAAAGTGTTGGGCTGGGTCTACTGCAGAAGCGGAAATTTGGCCTCGAGTTCTGGTGTTCAGAACTCATATTTCTGCATGACTGAACTGTGAATGGAAAATCCCAAGTGTCTTACAAAATTAGTGGCTAAATGGTGTTTTTACTAATCACTTCAGAGATGAAAAAACTGAAGACATTTTAAAATTCAAAACCCATCAGCATGCGTTTGCCCTTTAATTGGCAGAATATTGATCGTGAGAGCAGCCCGGAGAGCTGATTTTTTCCTCCTTCAGCTGTTCCAGCTGAACTACAGCTGCAATTTCTTTAAAAAGAAAGAAAGAAAGACAAAACCTCTTGACTGTATTTTATAAGAGCAGTAATTCCCACAAAGTCAGTTACTGGAGTTAATGACCAGTTTGTTAAGGCATTAACTGCCCTCAGCTGGGAATGACCAATTTTGGAGGAATGGCTGCACAACTGCTAAGATAATTCAGGAACACTTTCAAATAATGATCCAGCTAATTAACGGTGAATTCCTGTGGAAATCCTATCGAAGTACTTATGACCTCTGCATTTAATAGCCAGTGAGTTCATCATGATTCATGTTTATTACCATAAATACCAAAAGAAGTGTAATGACGAGGCCATTTTTTTTCCAGCCTGGCCTTATTACTTGAACAGATTTGCCTAATCCACCTCTACTCATTAAGGCCTAGTTCTCAAAATACTCAGTCTTTTCACTGCTCTGCTCAGAACTTACAGGGCCTTTGGTGCTCTGCCAGCATACTATTGGCAGCCTGTTTTTACTTGGGATGCTGTTAGGGAATAATTGATGTCTATAAGTCTTAAAGGAGCCCTTTTGAAATGCCTGCCATTTGTAGGATGTGGAGGAATCATAGCTAGTTAGCTGGAGTTTATAGTTCTCCGTCATGAATTCTTAGGAGAAAATCATACCCTTCAGCCCCTCGAATTCATTTAGGATATACAAGATTGTTGGGTGGTGGTTTGTTTGTTGGTGTTTTGTGTTTTGTTTTTGTTATTTTTTGGTTGTTGGTTTTGTTTTGTTTTTAGGTTTATGTTTTAGGAACTAAGATATCCTTTCTTTCAATAAATAAAGATTATTAACTTATAATAAAGGATAAGCTCTTATTTTACTTGGACCATTTAATCTCTCTTAATGGCTGTTTATTGCTATATGATCTGAAAATTAGCCTTTAAGTAATAATAAGTGTTGGCAGCCAGAAAGCCTCTATTTTCTGTATGCAGCTGTGTTTGAAGAAATGAATTCAGGTTATTTCCAGGTATTCACTCTTCTCTCTCCAGGTATTCACTTTTCTCCTAAAATACTTTGTCTTTTGTTGCAGCTGTCAGATATCTACTAGATGTCATAAGGTTATAGGCTGTTTTTTATCAAGTTAATCATTTATATAATTATTGAATCAATGAATAAGGTACCTGTGGTTTACATGCTGTAATCTTCACTCATATATTGCAATTCTTTTTTTTTAATATATTTTATTGATTTTTTACAGAGAGGAAGGGAGAGGGATAGAGAGTTAGAAACATTGATGAGAGAGAAACATCCACCAGCTGCCTCCTGCACACCCCCTACTGGGGATGTGCCCGCAACCAAGGTACATGCCTTTGACCGGAATCGAACCTGGGACTCTTCAGTCCACAGGCCGACGCTCTAGCCACTGAGCAAAACTTGTCAGGGCATATATTGCAGTTCTTTAGAGGATAAAAGGAAATATGTGGCATGTATCAAGATTGAATTAGAATCATCAAGGTAACATCTGGGTAACAATACCATTTATGAATTATTTACATTTTTTTCTGAATAAAAGGGCAAGTGTCAGTTGAGTCTTTTTTCATTTCTTAAATAAATATAAAAAGAGATGAAAATCAGATTTATAGATATTTGCAAATCGATTGATTAACTTCTAGGGAACCTTTACCCAGACAAAATCTAGAAGACATATCAGCAACTTGGGTTATATAGACTTCCGAGTACAGTATTGTAGTCCCTTAGATCTGTCATCACCTCCTTTCACACTTTCCTCAAGGAAAAAATATCTCTGGTGTAGTGCTAGTCATATTCCAGTTTCTTTTGTTCGATTGTGCTCAGCCCAAACAAGGGGGAAACTCCTGTAGGTTTTATTTGCCTGGCACGTGCTACTCGAAGATATATGAAGTAATATAGCTAGTTGGGAGGTTTGTCTTCAGTATTTTCAGACTTCTCTCTCTGTGTCCTTTCATCTTCCTAATAGGCCATCCCCTCCAAGACCATTCCCCACTCTAGGAGAGAAGTTAAGTTCTATTACACCAGGGGTCCTCAAACTTTTTAAACAGGGGGCCAGTTCACTGTCCCTCAGACCGTTGGAGGGCCGGACTATAGTTTTAAAAAAAAAACTATGAACAAATTCCTATGCACACTGCACATATCTTATTTTGAAGTAAAAAAACAAAACGGGAACAAATACAATATTTGTATTTGCATGTGGCCCGCGGGCCGTAGTTTGCACTGTCCCTCAGACCATTGGAGGGCCGGACTATAGTTTAAAAAAAAACTATGGAACAATTCCTATGCACACTGCACATATCTTATTTTGAAGTTAAAAAACAAAACGGGAACAAATACAATATTTGTATTTGCATGTGTCCCGCGGGCCGTAGTTTGAGGACCCCTGTATTACACCCAAGAAAATATGAAAGAAGGAAGAGATTCTCATTGTTTGTGGTGGTAGTAGAGGAACATACATTGATGACAATAATCTGTACTGTAATGATTTCCTTTTCTCAAGTTTATTTTTGTTAAGGAGTTTATAACCTGTTGAGAATGAGAGAATAATGAAGAGTTCTTATCAGAACCGAGCCTTGTAATATGGGGTGACTCTCCTAAGCCTGTGCTTCTGGGACAGCAGATCCTTATAGGAAAGTGTTAACATATTTTGATTTAAAAAATAAGGATGAGGTGGTCAACTTTATAGTAGGCTACTGAAAATTACCAATTTTTAGGTTTGGGCCTCATGTTTTATCCAAAAATATATCTTTCAAAATATACATTATCTCTTGGAAGTTTATAATATTTCACAGATAGTTTGCTCCAGACTTGGGAATTGAAATAGGGAGCTTGAAATATTTTCTAGAAGAGCTTTGAGTCAGTAGTTTAAAATTTTTAATGCATTAATTGGAGTGAGTTATACCAAAAAATTTAATCATATAATTACCAATCACCATTTCTATGATTTCTTATTCCCAGGCAATGAAAACTACAAACAGATAGCAATGTGTGTACTTTACCACATAAGCATGGATGACCGCTTTAAATCAATGTTCGCATATACTGACTGTATACCACAGGTAGGTCGTTTCAGTGTTTTTAAAAACTACAGTCAAAAAAATTTTTTTCATTTTTCTCTTATTTCCCAGATGCCCTTTTCCTAAAAATAAATTTTTAATCCATTATAATATAAATTTGGTATAAGAACAGAACAGTATAAAATGAAAATAACTGTTATCCCTAATGCAGAGATAATCATTTAATATTTTGGTACATTTCCTTTACATTGTTAAAAAATAATATATTGGGATTATATGCTCTATATAATTACACATTGTTTTATTTACCGCACAGACCATAAGTATTCTCCCATGTTATTGAATGTTCTTCAAAAATTTCTAATAGTTGTATAACATTGTTGCATAAATGTGCCATAATTTAAATATTGTTAAATTGTATGTTTAGTTTTTTTCTATTTTATCACATAAAAACAGAAGTAAAGGTATGTAAGCAACTAAAAAAAATGTGGGATAAATATTATAGTATATAAATGTTTATTCATATCTCTGATTTTTCTTTAGTTTAAATTCCTAAAAGTAGAATTACTAGGTCAAAAAGCATGAACACTTTTGTATTTGACGTATTGTGGCTAAATTACCTTCTAAAAAGACATAATTTATATTTCCAGCTAACATTTCACTTTTAGTAACACTGGGTATTATCATTTCTCTAAAAATGAAGTGTCTTTTTATTTACATTTCTATGATGAGATTGAACATTTTTTATGTTTTGTATCCATATTATGTTATAAATTATTCCTTCATGTCTCTTGCCAGTTTTTTCATTGTCGTGTTAATATTTTCATGATTAATAAATAAGATATAGATACATAGATAGCTATTTGAACTCTGTCATATTACAAACATTTCCCAACTTTGTCAATTGCCCTTAATTCTATTATGGTTGATGGTTTTAAGTGCTTTGCATTCGCTGATGGGAAAGTGCTTCATAAAAATTATTTTTATAGCATTGTTCTCAGTTAACATTTCATTTCATATGTTAAAGTCTACTTGAAAGAGTTTAGTGATTTTTTTTGTTTGCATGGACTGTAAGGGTAGAGATTCTATACATATGATTTTACTCTTAGGGAATTTACATTCATAGAATAACTAGTGTTCCATTAATCTTTATTAAACTGAGCTCCAGGAATTTGATTATCTATTTTAAAACACTGGTTGGGCTGATTTTAATATTACATTATTTTCTATAAAATGATTTTCTAAAATAGATAAAGGAAAATTACAGGATGTATAATACACAATAAACACTTTAAAAGCACTTTAGAATATGAATAATAGTTTATACTTATTTAAAGTAATTGCTCTTAAGACTCCTAAAAGGCACTTTCTCGTTAGCATAATGTAAGTTATTAACTTTGTATTATTAGAAAAGTAATAAATAATAAAAATAGACCATAATTTCTTTGTTTATTAATTGAACGTCCTTCTGTTCATCCCAAATCAGTAAGGAAATTCTAAAATTGAATTTTATATTCCAGAATTTTAACACTTTATCTACATACAATTAAAAACTGATAAACTCTCAAGGATAACTTCTTAGCCTTTTATGTCAGGAGATAAGCTAGTTATGTGTGTTTATAGTAAATAGACTTCCTTTAAAGAATATATAGCATATTTTATCTAACAAGGCAAGACTTCTTACAAAGATAACGCATGTCAGACTGTAGCCAATGCGAAGTGTAATCAAGCTTTTTGTCAAACAAGTTTTCAATAAAAGAGTAGCCATGTCAGAGGGAGATTACAGGTGATTTACTACAGTTTCACTCCACATGTTCCCAGGGTCTCTGCTTTGCAGTTTCAAAGGGTGTTCCTTTCTCAATCCCATTTAGTGTCAGAACTTCATTGACTACAGGATATGAATTGGAAAGCAGCCAAAAAAGAATAATATTCTTGCCTAGATTAACTTTTTATCCAGATTATAGTTTTAAAAAAATAAAATTAAATAAAGGAGAGAAATCTAAACTAAAAGGGGATGGAAAAGTTATTTTGTTGAATCTTGAATTTGGAGTTACCCTTCTCTCTTAGAATGTATAATCTCAGACATAAAATATAAAACTTTATTTTAAATAAAGAATCATAAATAAAAGCCTATTTTGTTTACCTTTGAAACATTTTATTATCTATTTGTTGACAACTTTATGTGTAGAAAATTCTCTCAGACCTTTTAGAACAATATTGATGCATGTTTTCTTGCCAGATAATTTCCTAACATCAAACATTTTTGCAATAAGGTTTTCAGAACATTTATGATGTATATTTTATTAACAGAATCTTCTCAAACTCACTTAGTATTTAACATTTTATCTTTTTAAAACTTCAATCCTAATAGGATTAGGTGAGGTTATATTATCAAATTATGTCATAAACATCCTGAAGCTTTTTAGTATGAGGTCACATTATGAGAAACCAAATGATACTCTAGAATATATTTGTTCCTAAAGTGCTATCCAGCCTATAACTTGTACTTTTACAGGACTCAATTTTGACATATTTAGGGAAAAGTTGACATGGCTTGATATGCCACCCAGTTCCAGGTTCATTATAAAATAAAAGAATCATCGGAAGCATATCTGGAATTCAATTTAATTCCTCCAGGAATCAAAAAGACCGTCCTTTCATAGTTATTGGCTTTTTGAATTAATGTTTAAAACACCAGTAAAGCTTTAAGCTTCTTTGTGACAACAAATTTATTATTTATTTAAATAAAATTATATCTGAGGTTCAGAATATTTTAGAGTTAATACAATACTCTATTCACTTTGCGATTATACATATTTTTTATTTAGTGAAGATGGTAAAAAAAAAAGATGGTCAAGTATTGCAAATAAATTTTTCAAAGAGAAGGCTAAAATCACTTTGAAAATGGGAAAGCAAAGATTCAGTACTCATTCATATCAGTGATTAGAGTATGTAGTATGTCATATTCTTTCATTACATTAGAGATATATTAAGGAGCTTTTCTAAGCTGTAAAACACTAAGTAAGGTATTATTAGTAAAATAGCCGATCTTTTTCTCATTATTTTGGATCCATTCATAGTCCAATTTAAATACTGCTCTTTTTATATGTGTTTTATAGGTTAAACCTATAATTAGAGTTCACTTTTGAAAATTAACATTCAGCGTAGTTGATTATATATACAGTGTGTCCTATAATGTCTTTCAATATTATGTTGCTTTGCTTCTTTTGTACTTTTTTATTGCCTCTAATTATCCAATATATTCTAATTTTTTTCCTATTATGTCAGTATTCTGCAAAATTTTGGGGCCAGGGCAAGTCTTTTCTTTACATATGATCTTAATGGTCTCAGTGGGTAAATTGTCTTAGGTAAGCATACTTGGGATAACCAGGAGTTAATAGTTGTATTCTAATAATAGTTAAAAGTACACATTAACAGTTCATTGTTATTTAGACCTCTAAGATGCATGTTTTGTTTAAATAGGTGCAAATGCCATCCAGATGCTTATAAAAGTATTTATTGGTAATAGAGTGGCCAATCAAAGTACATGTTTAGGTAATGATGTCATGGTGTTATTTAATATTTTACCCTAGAACAGTGTTCAGGGATCTTCATAGTGATCCACATGTTTTCCACCACAGTTGTCCTGTTTGGCCCCTCTTTGATCTACATGCTTCTTTTTAGCTGAATGCTGGTAAACGTCCTTTCTGACAGCCCCCTTTGCTCCTGCCTGCCATTATCTGCTGAAGTTCAGAAACCAGAGCATCACTTCAAACAGCAGAGCTAGGGAGTAGCCAGTCAGAAGAGATTCCTGAGGCATGCAAAGTTCTGCCATAATCATTCAAAGATGTTTGGGCAGGGGGTTGGGGGTGGTAGAGGTGTATGTGAATACAGAGAGCTGTGGGGGTTGGCCTCTGGTCACTGGTAAATAAGTAAAGTCAGGTGCCAGAGAGTCTAGACACAGTGATTTCAGTCGTGGGTCTTTGGTATCTGATACTCAATATGGGACTTGTCTGATTGAGCACTATTGCCTCTTCATTGCACAGGCTGAAGCCCTTATAGTGCCTTCTAGTTAAATTAGTAAAAGATGACAATGGACATCGTTAAAGCAGAACAAATCTAGTTTTAATATTTCCTAGTTGTCAGCAATTACACTTACTTTTGAAGTGCCATGGGTAGCAATCAAATTAAAGACATCATATTGCACATGGAGTTTGAACTAAACTATTATTTTAAAATGTGAATGCTTTAATTAAAATTGAAGTGTTTCTCTTTCTTATTATGAAAGACTAATTCTATATCATGATACATTTAATTCACATTTAGTCCTGATTTCTCTTGATCTTGGGGGGTGGGTGTTGGATAAGATTTCAAATCATACCTTTTTTTTTTTTTAAATCCAGCCCCTGATTATTTCACCACAGGATGTAACATGGAAATTACAAAAATTAAAAACCCTCAATTTCTAAACATATCACCTGTAACCCCATTTTCTAAGGGCAGTTTTCATACCGCAAGGTTAATTTCAAGAAGATAACAACAGATATTTTGCCTTCTTAAAGATTTGCTTTGATATAACATATTTTGTTATTACAAAAAGCTTCTATCAGTAAAAGTTTAGAAGAAATCTATAGTAGGTTCTTAATGAATATGACAAACATACTAATTTCATTAACTAGAGGATTGTCACCTACATTTTTATTAAATTGTAATTTAATTTTAATTGGCAGTTAATTTATAGAAAAGTTGCAAAATCTGTTAAATGTATATCCAATAAATTTAGATTACTTTATTTTTGCCATAGAATTTTTTTAGCCTATAACATTATTAAGTGTTTAATGATTTTTTACCCAAAGATTCCAGTAGCAGTATTTGGGGTTAAAGAGTTGCCCTTTGGGAAAAGGCATGATACATGCCAACCTGCTTTAGTATTTTGTAGTTTCCAGTGTATAGCAAATTATATTTACATATAGTTTTGTTAGAATTATACATAAGTATTTTATTTTTGGAGTAATTATAAGTGGATTTGTGTTTTTTATTTTGCTCTCCAATTGTTCATTGCTAGCACATAGAAACACATGATTTTGTGTGTTGACTGTGTATCCTTCTTACAACTTAGACATTATCTGGAACTAACATAGAGAATAACCAAAACAAGATTTAACAGAATAGGGTCTAACCCAGGGGTCCTCAAACTACGGCCCATGGGCCACATGCAAATACAAATATTATATTTGTTCCCGTTTTGTTTTTTTACTTCAAAATAAGATATGTGCAGTGTGCATAGGAATTTGTTCATAGTTTTTTTTTTTAAACTATAGTCCGGCCCTCCAACAGTCTGAGGGACAGTGAACTGGCCCCCTGTTTAAAAAGTTTGAGGACCCCTGGTCTAACCAGTCAACAAATAGTTAATATTCACTTATCCTATATAATAAAGTGGTAATATGCAAATTGACCATCACTCCAACACACAAGATGGCCGCCCCCATGTGGACACAAGATGGCCAGCAGGGGAGGGCAGTTGTGGGTGATCAGGTCACAGGGGAGGGCAGTTGTGAGGGACCAGGCCTTCAGGGGAGGGCAGTTGGGGGTGACCAGGCCTGCAGGGGAGGACAGTTGCGGCGACCAGACCTGTAGGGGAGGGCAGTTGGGGGCGACCGGGCTGGCAGGGGAGGGCAGTTGGGGGTGATCGGGCCGGCAGGGGAGCAGTTAGGTGTCAATCAGGCTGCCATAGGAGTGGTTAAGGGGTGATCAGGCTGGCAGGCAGAAGCGGTTAGGAGCAATCAGGCAGGCAGGCGAGCGGTTGGGAGCTAGCAGTCCTGGATTGTGAGAGGGATGTTCAACCCACAGGGAAGCGCTGCTTGCACCCGCTCCTGGCGCCAGCTGGGCTCAGGGCTGGGGAGCACAATGCTAAGGATATCCGACTGCTGGCTTAGGCCCGCTCCCCCATTTGTTTTAAGCCGGCAGAGAGCTCCCGGACTGTGAGAGGGCTCAGGCCAGGCTGAGGGACTGCCTTGAGTGCTCAAATTTCATGCACCGGGCCTCTAGTATATAGATAATATACACTAACTTAATTTTCTGATTTACTAGTAATAGAAGACTAGCTTTTCAAAACTACAGCACAAAGTTTGTTCATTTCTCCTTTATGATAGCCTCTATCTCTTATGAAAAATCTAGATTACTGCTGAATGGCATAGGTAGCCTACCTTTTCCTTTCTACTTTTCTGTTTGCTGCTTCTCTGACCCTCTCCCTTTTTTCTTAACCTTCAATAGAATTCTTTTCTTATTTTATACCCATGCCCAAATAGTTGGATCCAGCCTGCAGCTTCAGTTATCAAGAATACTAGAGGCCCAGTGCATGAAATTCGTGCACAGGTAGGGTTCCTAGGTCTGGCTGGTGATCAAGGCTGATTGGGGCCTTCCGGCTGCCAGCCAAGACCTTCCTTCCCCAGCTGCTGGCTGCCAGCCCGGGCCTTCCTTCATTTCGCACCACCCCCTGGTAGTCAGCACACAACATAGTGAGCGATCAAACTCCTGGTCGAACTCCCGAGGGGACAATTTGCATATTAGGCTTTTATACATAGATGTGGCAGTTCCTATAATTATACCTCCAGTCCAAACATTTCTTCTAAATTCAGACTTGCCTTTATTATCTTCATTGAATAGCTGTACTAGACTCTTAAATAGGCTGCTTAAACTCAACATATCTAAAACCAAAATTACTATCTTCCCTTTAACGTGAATACTTTAGTTTCTCTTTTTTGGTAAATGTTGGCACCACCATCCATGTTGATGCAGAAACCAGGAGTCATCTTTGACCCTTCCTCTCCAATAATCCCAACATCTAGTCAGTTATTCAATCCCATTTTGATTCTTTTTCCTAAATATAGATCTAGCCTTCCTTTTACCTCTATCTCCACTGCTCTCCCTAGTCCAAGAAGCCATCATCTACCTGCATGTTTCCTCTAGCCTTCTAGCTGATTTTCCTGTGGTTTTCTTACCCTGTTTCAGTCTATTTTCTACACTGGCCAGATATTTTTAAAACCCGGATCTTATCCTGACACTTTCCTTATTTAGAATCTTTTAATGGCTTTCCATTATCGTTAGAAGCCCTAAATCCTTAACATGTACTTCAAGACCCTGTGATCTGGCTTTTACCATCTTATCTCTCAACACTGTTTCCCTCACTCCAACCATGCTTTATCTTCTTTTAGTTCTTCAGTGGAATCATGTTCTTTCCTGTCTTGTAAATTTGGCCAAGGTGTTTTCTTTGCTCAGAATGCTCTATGTCTGCACAATTTTAAATTCCTTAAATGCATAGGCTTTATTTAATATTTCTTCTGTATCCTCCACTTTTCCTGGAAGTTTATATTTAATGCAGTTGTTCATTAACCACCTATTCATTTAGTTATTCAATAGTCAGTGTGCCACAGCTATGTACTGAAAATGTAATTGTGTTATATTATTTCCAGCATGCAATCTAAGTTAACACATTGTGATAAAATGGTGATTCGGGGTTTTTTTGTATCTTTTTGAGTAAAAATATTCCCTGTGCTTCTTAATAGTTAATGAAGATGCTCTTTGAATGTTCAGATGAACGAATTGACTTGGAACTGATTTCTTTCTGCATTAATCTTGCTGCTAATAAAAGGAATGTACAGCTTATCTGTGAAGGTTAGTGCCTTTGAGCTTCATAAATAACCTCTATCATATGGCAATTGGCATATGATAGAAAATAGGTAATAAGGAAGTAAAATTATAGCTATAACCCTAAAAGGTCAGATAGACTCAGAATATTCTGATAATCATGAGTAGAAACACCCTTCAGTAATGAGGTCAGTTACCCTTAATTGAAATTTGATTTTTAAAAATACTTTCTATATGAAAAAAAAACTTTTAATTTGCAGAGTAATTCATTGCAATGTAAGATAGTATAATACAAAAGTGTTAGGTATTTGTTTCTATAGTATCTTTGCAAAATTGCTTGCCATGCATTATGATATTGCAGAGTCCTCTTGATAGTTTTTTTCTTATTTGAAAAGTATACTTGTTTGTTACAAAAAATACAAATAAGCAGATAGGAAAAAATTAAGTGTTTACTCTCCCTATTTAGAGGTAATCGTAGGTAAAATTTTGATGCAATGCTTCTATATATTTTTAATTTTTTGTATATTTTTATTGATTTCAAAGAGAAAGGGAGAAGCAGAGAGAGAGAAATATTAATGATGAGAGAATCATCAATCGGCCGCCTCCTGCACGTCTCACACTGGGGATCGAGCCTGCAACCTGGGCATATGCCCTGACCGGGAATCAAGCCGTGACCTTCTGGTTTATAGGTCTATGCTCAACCACTCAGCCATGCCAGCTGGGCTGCTTCTATATATTTTTAAATTAAAATGGGGTTCTTCTCTATGTATGGTGATAGTCTTTAAGTTAATAATATATGAAATATCATTCCATGTGGTTAAATACTTTTATAAAACATACTTACCAATAGCTACAAAATAATCCATTGAATGATTTTCCATAGTTTAATCTGCTAATTTGGTTGTTTAATTTGCTACCACTTCTTTTCTGTGACAAACAACAATGCAGTGATTTTCCCTTTTCTGAGGTTTTCCACATTTTCATTTTTATATTCTTAGGATGAATTCCTAGAAGTAGTTTTTCTAGGTCAACTAGCATGTACATTTTTAAAATGTGTGGCCCATATTCTATACACAAAAGAGCCCATACTCTGTGATTACATTTATGTAAAATTCTAGAATAAGCAAAATTAATCTATGTTTAATAAGAAGAAAGAGAAGGAATAGAAGAGGAGAAGAAAAGTGATTGAATTTGTGGAATAATATTGGCTGGGCATAGGGGATTCTGGAGCAAATAGAAATATTCTATATGTTGTGTGTGTGAATTACATAGCAGTATACGTTTATCAAAATGAACCTATTGGAGGCCCAGCTAGGGTGGCTCAGAGGTTGAGTGTCAACCTGTGAACCAGGAGGTCACAGTTCAATTTCTGGTCTTCAATTTATAGTCTTCAATTCCCAGTCGGGCATATATCATATGTCCGGGTTGCAAGTTTGATCCCCAGTGGGGGGCATGCAGAAGGCAGCCAATCAATGATTCTCTCTCATCATTGGTATTTCTCTCTCTCTCCCCCACCCTCTCCCTTCCTCTCTGAAATCAATAAAAATATTTTTTTAAATTAATCTATTGGAGCCCTGGCCAGTATGCTAAGTGGTTAGAGCATTGGCTTGAACATGAAGGGACATAGGCTCGATTCCCAGTAAAGGACATGTACCTGGCTTGCAGGCTTAATTCCCAAACCCGATCAGATACGTGCAGGAGGCAACCAATTGATGTGTCTCTCTCTCACATTGATGTTCCTCTTTCTGTCTCACCCACTCTCTCTCCCTTCCATTCCTTCTAAAAATCAATGGAAAAAATATCCTCAGGTGTAGTTTAACCCCACCACCACCACCAAAATCTATTGGACATTTAAAGTTTATGCACGTTACTGCATATAAATTATGGAATTTTTGTGAACTATAAGCAACCTTATTTTTAGTGAACCTTATTTTTACTGGGGAATCTTTGGTGTTTCTGTACCAGGAAATGGGCTAAAGATGCTCATGAAGAGAGCTCTGAAGTTCAAGGACCCACTGCTAATGAAAATGATTAGGAACATTTCTCAGCACGATGGACCAACTAAAAACTTATTTATTGTAAGTATAATTTTTGACCTGTCTATTGTAATGGCCTGCGAATTGAAGCTTTAAAATGATCCATTTGGAAATATAACTTTTACTGAGCTCTCATCAAATATTAACTCATGACCCAAGTTGGCTTTCTATCAACACCTTCTTTGTAAGAATAACTCCTAGAAATTTAAACCTAGGTTTTTATGATGTTTTTGTTTTACGATCTCTACCCCTAACCCTTCCGTCCTCACTCCAGTTTTCTTGCCTTAAACCAGTTCACCATAGGCTCCCCTAGTAATTCAGCTCAAAATTATTAAAACAAGGGAGTCACATTTGATACTTATTTTTCTTTCCAAAGGGTTGAATTATTAGAGTGGTTCTTCTGCAGAAATCATTTTATATTTGTATTAAAATTATATTTTCTACAGGATTATGTTGGGGATCTTGCAGCCCAGATCTCTAATGATGAAGAGGAGGAGTTTGTGATTGAGTGTTTGGGAACACTTGCAAACTTGACCATTCCAGACTTAGACTGGGAATTGGTGCTGAAGGAGTACAAGCTGGTTCCATACCTCAAGGATAAACTAAAACCAGGTCTCTGCTGATCATCTCACTTTAGTCTTACCGTAAAGTTATTTCTTTATGTTGTGGATAAGGCTGCTAGAGCATTATTTTGTGGCCATTATTATAGTGACAAATTTTCTCCCATACCTCAAGTTCTAGTTTCTTTTCTTTCTTTTTTTTTAACATATTTTATTGAATACAGAGAGGAAAGGAGAGAGTGAGTGAGATAAAACATTAATTATGAAGGAAAATCATTGATCAGCTGCCTCCTGCACGCCCCACACTAGGGATCGAGCCTGCAACCCAGGCATGTGCCCTGACCAGAATCGAACTGTGCCCTCCTGGTTCATAGGTTGATGCTTAATCACAGAGCCAAGCCAGCCGGCTCAAGTTCTAGTTTCTTTTTCCCAGTAAGGTGGTCACTCTTATATGTATGTATTCTTTTTTCCTAACAATAAATATTAGTTTCCCGTTCCCATTCTGCCTTCTTTCTTATTTTTTTAATCCTGCTTTTTTGAAATGACCAAATGCCATTCCTTTCTGCAAACCATGTACATACACACACACAAAGTTCTTCAGAGCGTTCAAGTGAGTCTTCTACTTTCTGTGTTTAAATTGTCATTCACTTTAATTCCAAAGAGTAATTTTTATGTCTCTGCTGCCCTTCCCTCCCACCACAAACTATATCATCAGTAAACATGGAAATTTGGAAAAAGACAGATATATAACCATCTTAAGGATTCATAAGAATTGATTTAGCTTTCAGTATCTTTTATTTTTTCTGTGAATGAAAATGTTCTGTGATCTGACTTTATCAGGTACTGCAGAAGATGACCTCGTTTTGGAAGTAGTGATAATGATTGGAACTGTGTCTATGGATGACTCTTGTGCTGCATTGCTAGCCAAGTCTGGGATAATCCCTGCACTCATTGAACTGCTGAATGGTGAATTATAATTTATCTTAATTTATTTGTATGCTAATATATTAATAGGTTATTAGTTTAAATTTTTAAATATGAATAGAATTTGGAATCATAATGTTCTTTAACTTGGTACATTAATGATCTTATAGCAACTTAAGTTATATAGTTATGAAAGATGAATTAAATATAACTCTTACTGGGATTAGCTAGAGCAGTGGTTCTCAACCTGTGGGTCCCGAACCCTTTGGGGTTCGAACGACCATTTCACAGGGGTCGCATAAGACCATCGGAAAACACATACATAATTATATATTGTTTTTGTGATTAATCACTATGCTTTAATTATGTTCAATTGGTAACGATGAAAATACATTCTGCATATCAGATATTCATATTACGATCCATAACAGTAGCAAAATGACAGTTATGAAGTAGCAATGAAAATAATTTTATGGTTGGGGGTCACCACAACATGAGGAACTGTATTAAAGGGTTGCGGCATTAGGAAGGTTGAGAACCACTGAGCTAGAGTAATATCAAAGAGTTGACAACGTTGCTGTGTTGAATTTTACCTTAATCTAGGACACTCACTTGTGAGCATTTTCCTTTCTGAACCTAAATAGATCACTAGTAAATCCAGGTTTCTAATTTTAGAGTCCTTACTATTATTGTCTACCATACCAAAGACTCTCCCTCATATCTTTGTTATTTCTGGTCCAGTCTTATAAATACAAATTTATGCATGTATATGCTTAACCTTCTTAGATTATTCACATCCTTAGCTACTATCCAAAAGACAGGTATAGGGTGGACGGGGTCAATGTGGAAAAAGGGAAACATCTGTAATACTTTAACAATAAAGATAAATTTTTTTAAAAAGGAAAAGAAATTCAGGACCATTTTAGATATTGCCTTCCTCTCATCAGCCTTGAACAACTAATATTTCATCATTTCTTCTTCCTGTTGAACTTTGTATTTGGATCTCCTATGTTGTGCAAATCCTTTTTAATATTTTGATTTCTAATCAGGAATGTTTATTTGGAAGTTAATTCTAAGTATCATAATCCCTCCTAGTTCCAGACGCAGTATTGTCCTCTAAACTTTCTTTAGTGAAGATAATGTTCTCTGTCTATGCTGTCCGTCACATGATGTAGCTATTGTGTGAGCTGGAATTTTAATTCTATTACATTTTAATTTAATTAGACACAGTGGCTTATGGTTACAAGAATGGACAGTGGAGGCCTAGGGAGAGCCTTCCCCTTCCCCTTGTATTCCTCTTAATGGGTTTATTGTTCTCCATATTGGACACAAAATTTGTCTGAATCTAATATTATTTTATTAGAGTCACATTTTTTGGGACCTTATATTAGCCTGCTCTTGTGGCCATTAACTAAGTTCCACAGGCTGGTTGTCTTAAACAGACATTTTTGGAGACTGGGAAGTCCAAGATCAAGCTATCAGCCTATTTGGTTCCTGGTGAGGAAAATAGAACCAAATTTATTTCATAAATTAGAGTTGTTTAAATAATGCTTATGACAGACAAGAAATAAAACAAGTGGAGATGTGTTGCCATTTTACATTATGGCTAATTTAATCAATTTCTTCATACCTGGTGGCAAAAGACAGTGTAAACTGTCAAGAAGCACTGTTACTGTTCTCTTAAAACAATCTTGTTCCTCAGTTCGTCCAACCTGGGCTTTTGAGATAAGTAATCTCATGTAGTCTGGTTTAAATTCAGATATGATATAATTTCTCTTTTTCAAAATCTTATTTTTTTATCTTTATATTCCAAAGTAATTTAGCCTATTTAGTTTACAACCAAATTTACTAAAACTTCTGAAAACATATTATTAAAAAATTCCTCACTGTTATCATCATGTAATTTAGAAAAACACCTAAGACATAAGTGACATGTGCCACCCATATATTATAAGTAATTTAAACTAGTTGTCTTTTATTAGTCTCCTTGGCACTTTTAGGTTTTTTATTCAGTGTTTTTTAATTTGTATATAAACATAATATTCTTTTATTGAAAGTTTTCTGTTTCCTTCAGCTCAACAAGAAGATGATGAATTTGTGTGCCAGATAATTTATGTCTTCTATCAGATGGTTTTCCACCAAGCCACGAGAGATGTCATAATTAAAGAAACACGTATCCTTTCAATGTTTACAATAAATAATGACATTATATATATATTAAGAAGAGATGCATCTTTAGGTTTTTTTTTTTCTTGCAAATAGTCAAATAATGTAGAAAATATCAAGCTCTGAAATACATTTATAAGGCAAGCTATATTTCATGGAAGCATAGTATGGTGTAGCTTAAGAATCGTTATAATCACATAATCCTAAAGGTAATTTTTAATTACCTTTTACTACTTATTAGCTGCAGGACCTTGGATACACTACTTAACCTGCTTGAACATACAATCTTGCATCTATAAAATGGCCATAATATTACTAAACTAGAGGCCTGGTGCATGAATTTGTGCACAGGTGGGGTCCGGCCGGCCCGCCCTGATCAGGGCCGATTGGGCCAGGCTGGCTGAGGGGGGACGGGGCTGGCGGGGGGGAGGGGCCACAGTGGTTGGCTGGCCAGCCCCTCCCCCTGGTCAAACTCCCAGTTGAACTTCCGGTCAAGGGGACAATTTGCATATTAGCCTTTTATTATATAGGATAGAAAGAAGACCTTCTTCATTATAGAATTGTTATAAGTACTAATGAATTTAATGTGCTATAATAGTTCCCAGCACAGAGATTTACTCAGTAAGTGGTAGTTTATCATTATTGCATCTAAAAGGATTCCAGATATCGCCAACATCTTCACCTGAAAAACAGCCTACCCTCTGTATTCACAGTGGGTAATAACAGTATCATCCTCCCAGTCCCATAGCTGAAAATGTTGTGTCTGCTGTCTCTTTTACCATACACAACTAATCATTTATTCTACAAATATATATCTAGTGCTGACCATATAACAATGTTTTAAGCGTTGAATATACTCAAGGACTTTATAGACTATTGGAGAGTTAGACAATTAAATAAGAAATATAAAATTATAATCCAGTTTTCTTGAATTATAGTTTTTATTATTTGTCCTGTCCTGTTGCTTTGGTTGTCTTCTTGAGATTTGTTGTGTTGGATCGTCTTTGCCCACCTTTAATATCTGTTTCTAATTGTTCTCTCTTTTCATTTATTCTTTAATTTTAAAAGATATGTGCCCCGTACACAGGAGAAGATATATAACCAAGTCTGGGGATGTCATGAAAGGATGGCAATGGAAAAATGGAAGTGGTATCTAAGCCGAATTTTTGTCTTTTTTTTTTGTGGTGGTGGTCTGCTTTTGTGGACCAAAAGTAAAAATTAAAATATCTTCTTTAGAAATCCACTGCATAAAATTCTTCATTACCCATGTGAAAAATCTAAATTCTTTGGCTTAGCATACATAGCTCTTTATAACCTGACCTTACCCAAATTTTCCAAAGTTCCCTGTTTAACCTTACTATACATAGTTTTCTCTTAGCACACCAAATTTCTCATCATTTATCAAACATGACCCACCTTGTCAAAACTTACTGCCTCTTCAGGTGCCATGTCAACCTCAAAAATATTCCTCTCCTTTTTTTACCTGACAATCTCCAACTTAGCAAACATTAATAAGGTTATAAGCCATCTTCTGAGTTAAGCCTTGTGCCTCCCTTCTTCCCATTAGGAGTAATAGTTTTCCCTCTTTAATCATAATTTAGCAGAATATGAACTTCTAGCTTGCCAGTTATTTCCCTCAGCACTTGGAAGGTATTTTTCCACTGTCTTCTGGCCTGAATTGCTGCCAATGAGAAATCTGTAGTCTACTAATTATTGGTATCTGTCATAAAGTCTGATGACAACTTACTTTTGTTTCCATTCTAAGTGAGTCAGTCTTTTTCCTAGGAAGACCAAAGGAATGTTTTCTCATTCTTTAAAGCCAAGTAGTTGTATTAGAATTTGACTTGGTATTTATCATCCCTGCTTGATTTTTCCAAGTATGCAAATGTGTTCTTTCAGTATGTAGTTTTGTCTTATTTTTTTATTTCAGGAAAGTTTTCTTGAATTATAGTTTTTATTATTTGTCCTGTCCTGTTGCTTTGGTTGTCTTCTTGAGATTTGTTGTGTTGGATCGTCTTTGCCTACCTTTAATATCTGTTTCTATTTGTTCTCTCTTTTCATTTATTCTTTAATTTTTAATTTTTTCTTTCTTTTTACCTTCTATTTCTCCTAAAGTTTTATCTATTATTTTTATTTACTCTTGTGCTGTTATAAATTTAGTTTTTTATACCTTAAATGATTTTTATTTCTTTCCTGAATTATCTCAAAGTTTTCTAATTTTGACATATATTCTTTCATATACTATTGTTTTCTCTAATTATTTTATCTCTTTTTGGGATATTGGATTGCAGTTTTTATTTTTTATGTAAAAATGTTTTGTTTTCTTTTTCTTATAATAACCATATATGGAATTTGACTGATTCTTTTCTGTTGCTCTTTTACTGTGAAATTCACTCCCTGGACTTTTAGCAGGGCCAGATAGATCAAGAACGCTTTTATAGCTACACAGCTGTAGAGCTACCTTTTAAGCTATTTTCATGTTTTCAAAAATATGGCCTTGTATTTTCTAAAATTTACTGGCTGTTTTTCTTACCCATTTTTATCTAGTTGGGTTTTTTTTCTTTCTCATTCTTGTTTTTTAAACAAATGAAATATAAAATGTTTCTGGCCATCTTTTATTAATGATTTTATTTTAAAATTTGCAGTTAAATTTTTAGTTATCATTTGAATTTTGTGAAATGCGAGATTTTCTAATAGGATTGAATAGCCTCAGTCTCAAATGTCATTTGTATCTTTAACCACTTTATTCAGAGGCTCCAGCATATCTGATAGATCTGATGCATGATAAAAATAATGAAATCCGAAAGGTCTGTGATAATACATTAGATATTATAGCGGTAAGTAATTTATCTTTCTACACAAATTATAATAGTCTTCATTTGGGGAGAAAAAAGACATTGTACACCTATTTAGAACATTGCATTCAATATAAAGACAAATTTGTCTTTTGGTAAATCTCAGAAAATACAGTGATAAAAAATTCATTTTTAAAACATTTTTAAGACTTTTGGCTCTTAACTTTTTTTTAAATATGTTTTTATTGATTTTAGAGAGAAAAGGAGGGAGGAAGGGAGGGAAGGAAACATCAATCGGTTGCCTCCTGCACTCACCCCCACTGGGGACCAAACCAGCAACCTGGCCATGTGCCCTGACTAGGAATTGAACTGGCAACCTTTTGGTGCATGGGATGTGCCACATACCAGATTAATTTAAATATTTTTTTCACATATAACAGATAGTGCTACATGCAAACTGCTTGCTTCCTTCTTTGAACTGTTTATACTTTTATTTTGGCTCACCCTGTAAAAAGATATTTTAATATAGACTATTCAGTAGTTTTCAGAGTTAAATTTAAGTATTTTAAAAGGATCAGAATATTATTCAAAGTTCTTTAACAGTTTTATTGCAAATTTTCTGAGTTGACATTTCTGCTAGTGATCTCATTATGATATTGGACAACCACCAGCAGATACTTTTTGTCAGTTTCCCATATTTTATTTCAGAAATTCATCTTATTTTATATCATCTGCTCTTTGGATTTGACTGATTATATCATTATTGGTTTAAAACTAAATGAGTACATTGAAATTTTAGCTTTGCTCTCTAAATTACAATAGGGAAACTTTAATGTTAAAGCCGTGTTTTATCAGGATGTTTCATACATGTGGGCCACTGGTCACAGGATTTATGAACAGAGACTGTTTATTACTCCTAGAGAACAATTTCATGACTCGTACTTTTTTCTACTAGATCACTGATGTCATTATATACTAGAGGCCTGGTGCATGAAATTCAAATGAGTCCCTCAGCCCGGCCTGCACCTCTTGCAGTTCCAGAGCCCTCGGGGGATGTCCCACTGACAGCGGTGGGACATCCTTAGTGCTGCTGCAGAAGCTGGAGAAGCTCCCACCACCGTAGCTGCACTGGCCTGCCATGAGCCGGGCTACTGGCTGAGCGGTGCTCCCCCTGTGGGAGCACACTAACCACCAGGGGGCAGCTCCTGCGTTGAGCATCTGCCCCCTGGTGGTCAGTGCGCATCATAGTGACCAGTCCTTCCTCTGAGGAAGTATGGGCAAATCGAAATGGTGATAGATCAGCTACTATATAAGGCTCCCTGTGATGCTGTCTGATCACTTGAATCAGTTTTTAAAAACTGTGAACAAGTAATCCGAAGGTTCATATTCATGTGATTTGAAGTGCTGCTGTGCCAGTCAACTGAGTCATATTCATAGCTGAATCTTTTAGAAGAGAGGTTATCCGGTGCAGCTCGTAGAAGGGCACCAGCTCTGAAAACTGCCATGTTCTGCTGGAAGGATGTTTCTTTACCTTTGTCTGTTATACACCTAAAAAGATTCAAGGCCCTGGTTCAGTTTTAGCTTGATAGTTGGGAACAGCACCAGTGGGAGCAGCTTCTTTCCAAAACATTTTTCTCCTCTTCTCAGTTGGGTTGGGGTTCTGATTTTAACTTTTGGCCTCTGTGAAGTGGCAGCTTCGTCTTGTTGACATTGCATCTAGAATACAACTGACTCAAGTGCTCCCACCTGCTGAATAATCTCAGGCAATTTATTTAACTTTGTGAAGATTCCGTTTACAGTGACTCCTGAGGATTAGAGAATTACTGTAAGGAATGGAGAAGATGTATATGAAGCATCTACCATATGATAGTCACTCAATATGCTGTTTTCAGACTAGACCAAAATTCAGACCTAGTTAAGTTTATATGTAGATTAAATCTCTGGATCAACATTTCACTTTTTTTAGTACAGATAATTAGGCTATTTTCTGTTCATTTTAATTTTTAAAATGGTATGGGAAGATAATCTGTTCACTGTTTGGATTTTAAGTGTGGGAAGTTATTTGGAGTATATATTTTAGTCGGACATATTACTATTTATAGTTTAAGGTTATCCTGCAAATGGCTGAATTTGCATTTTAAAAGTTCATATCAGAACAATTAATTGAATAGGGCAATTAGCTAAAAGACCCGGTTAAGAGAGTGTCTTAAAGAGGGAGCAGCCTTTTCCAGTACAGAAGTGCCTCATCTGTTCAGTTACTCGTGTTCTGAACTGTGGTAACTTATTTGGGTTTGAACTCAATTTATCAGCTAACCTCAGACCACAGTTACACTCCAAGCTCACTGGACCTCTGTATTTGGGAGAAATTTGAGGAGTGGGCATTTTAACGCATCAGTAAAAAGACAGCTTCTCAAGCCACTTGGGACATAGCTGCCAGTCTTAGGTTCTTTGAGCCCAGACTCTATTACTGATCATGACTCAGGGTCTATTTGCTTGTCCTGAATCTTTTTTAAGAGCAAAACAAGAGGAAATTGACTTAATTTGAAACAGGGGAAACTTTGATTAGGCGCAGCAACGATGATGAAACACTAGAAATGGGCTGTCAGGGAGAATGTGAAGTCTCTGTCCAGTTACATCAGTAAGAACCAAATAACCACAGCCTAGGATGGAAGTGGATGATCTCTTACGACTCTTTTTACCTCTAGATTTTGATTTCCTAGTATCTCAGCATGACTATGTCCTAAACTAATAAAAAATACCCCAAAATGAGAATTTTATAGCTTAAAGCAACTTATCTTTAAGAAAACAAACTTCTTTTTCACTTAAGACAGTGTAGAATAATACTAAGAAAAATTAGATGCCTTACAACTATTAAGGAAATATGCCTACTGCAATTAAGTACTTGTCCCCATAATTATGGAAATGTTATGTTAGTGATGATTTGTTTAATATATTTGGGCCCAAGGCCTGAATTGGTGAACTAAAACAGATGTGTAGTGATAGAAGTCTTTGTACCATGGAGTATTACATATTTGGTGGTGTGGTCTCTGTGGCCTCATCAGCAAGTTGTCGCCTGTCTGACTAGGGCCTTACATGTAGTTTCATGAGGCAGAGACTCTTCCAAGCTTTGGGAATCTTGAAGGGAAGAACAAAACCCTCTATACATAGAGAGCTCCTAAAAACCCAGATAGATTTTTACACTTAAGTGCTTCCTCAACTTTGAAGTATTTGAGAACCACATAAATTCTTCCCCAGTTGCCAAGTGAATTCCTCCCCTGATATTACTGGGTTTTCATACATGTAATACATGTTTATAAAGCACATACTGTGTTCCAGACACTAAGGTAGACACGGGGACTACAAAACTCCACAACATAAAGTCCCTAAAATGTAAAAGTTTACCATTGGGAGACTATAGAACACGAGAGTTCTAGATGTGAGCTGGCCTTCCGGGAGCAGTACAACTACATGGCCCTGCCCATACATGTTCCATACCAATGGCACATTGTGGCTACAGGATATTAACAGGAAAAGGAATGTACCGAGTTCTCTAGTAAAGATTAATGTTTGTTGTCCATAGTCAGCCACAGGCCCAAGTGATTTGGTACTAACACAGGCTTGCATTGCTGACATTTTCAGTGGCGGCCCTTTTTCTTTTAGGAACTCTGTGATCATGGGCAGATTGTGTGTATTTCAATTATCTGGAATTAATAGCTAGCTCCAGTATTTTATTTTTTTAAAATATATTTTATTGATTTTTTACAGAGAGGAAGGGAGAGGGATAGAGAGTTAGAAACATTGATCAGCTGCCTTCTGCACACTCCCTACTGGGGCTGTGCCGGCAACCAAGGTACATGCCCTTGACTGGAATCGAACCCGGGACCCTGGAGTCCGCAGGCCGACGCTCTATCCACTGAGCCAAACCGGTTAGGGCTAGCTCCAGTATTTTAAACTTGGAAAACAAGGTGCTGTCTTCATTCCAGGATAGACAAAGTCATATTAAATAAGACTGGTGTATTGAAATGAGATAAATCAATGTAGGCTTACATGTAACCTCTAAGACCTCAATTGTTATGGTCTCCATAAAAATGACCAGGAAAGCTTGTGTCAGACAGAAAAGCTGTGTTTATTAATAATCTTTACAGCAAGGGAGAGTATTTTAAAAATGCCTCCTACATCTTTAAAAGGGAAGTTATAGAGGAAGCTTCATAGGGATAGGAAGAGGGTTAGCATTAGAAGTTAGGTTATTTCAGGACAGGCTTTCAAAAGCAGTGAGTGGGTAGTAACTGGGTAAAATGAGTAGAGAATAGTCACTGTTAATTGACTTGCAGGTTGGTTATAGGCACAGAGCAGATTTCTAAGTTGTTGACAGAAACTTCTAAGATGTTCTTTCTAGAGTAAGTGGAGTTGGTTCTTCTTTGTTTCACAATCTTGGCAAATATTAATTTCTCATATTTATAAGTTTGACTTTTATGTCTCAGTTTCATACAGTCAAATTGGGTTTAATGAGATAAGTTTGGCTAGCCCTCTTTTGGAGTTCATTTTTACATTGCATAAATGTGAAAGGCAGACATTAGGATATTTTTTCCAGCTTTTTAGAATCTACATACACACACACACACACCAGATCCTCAAATAATGTCATTTCCTTCAAAGTCCTTTCTTTATAACATTGAGGAGATGCCCTAGGAACTTAACTCTTGTTTATATCCATTAAACTACAGTACAGTTGGTTTAGTATGATGTTTCAATTAAAGTCATAAAACATATCGACGACATTGAGGACCTACTGTATGTTGTGTGTGTGTGTGTGTGTGTGTGAATGTGTGTATATCCCTGCCAGTCCTATGCATTTATTGATTTTTTTAGTTGGCAACAGATTTAAAAGAACCCAAGCATAGTATGAAAGATAAGGATCATGATTTCTTGCTTAACTACATTCTGTACAGTTATATTTTTTCTTTTGTGGTCTGACTGGACATAATATTTAAAGTGATATTGCACATATGAGCCCCCTCGGTGCTTTAAACAGATTGAAGAGA